CAGGTGACTGAAGCAACACAAAGTGTCACCATACCCCAGTAAGGTATACTATATTCTAGAGGTGGAGCACTAGAGATGTGAGGAGGAGTCTAGAGACCAGAAAACAAAGTATCCCTGGAAAAATTTAAAAAAATCATGATTCCTAGCTTTGAAAAGAGTTTTTTGAAGTGATCATATCAATAGTTTGGCATGTCCGATTGTCTGATGAGACTTGGGAGAGTTAATTAAAAGTTAATTGAACCTGTAAAAGTGTAAACCTAATAGGCCAATACACAATATGCTTTTACCAGTTTTATAAAGTCATTGACATTGTGTCGTTTGAATCCGAATACATTTTATGATGCAACTCCGATGTAAATAATAATTGGGGCATAAAAATTAAATCTAGGCAAGTCTATTTTCTAAAAGAATTAAAAACTAAAAATAATGTTTGTAAAAAATTCAAATGTTCCTTCCGAGCAAGCTAAGTATTTGCATGAGAAGGCACTGCAAACTCTATTCAGGGGAGATAATATAGTTTCAAAACTTTACAATTGCTCCAATAAACCAGTGAATGCACTGTCTTTTTCTATTTGAGTGTACTCCTACGTTTATTTTATATCATCAACACTCTGCATGTTGGAGTGGACTATTTAATTATTTTTTATTATGCCGAATGTTGGAGGTGGGGGTGTTGAAATAGTTTTTTGGAGGGGTGGTCATTTTGTTTGGGGGAGGAGTTATAGCTAATATTGGGGGGGGGGTGTCACCCCCCACCCCACAAAATCCGTCTATGCTTTTTAATCTAAAGAGTTAACTTAGGTAACTGAGGAGTGACTCAGATTAGCAAGCAAGTCTCCAGGTCTATTGTTCTTGCAATTTTGTATATATATAATAGCTATTTCAATTAAGGTTGTCCCCCAAGCAAAGCAGAAAAGTCGAATACAAGCGCGAAAGGCTGCTGAAAATCGCTAATAAATTCATTTATATTTCTGTATACACTACATATAATACTTAGTTTTACTGTAGAGTGATGATTACATTCTCAATATATAAGTAAACTTTTCCTTTTACAGATTACTAGCTGTATAAGGATGTATATATGATGGATCTCCAGTGGCATTTGCATGATGTGTTTGGAACAGTGTTTAATGTGCATTATAAAGAAATCTATGGACTTTGAACAAACGGTTGGTCAGATAATATTGCTTGTCATGTGGAAAAAGTTGACAAATTACTGCATCAGGTCTTCAGGAGAACTTAAATTTGCTACAACACATTGCTGTGCAATCAGATCATTGTATAACAGTGGCTGAAAAAAGAACTTGTATAAATTGACTATAATTTGATGTTTTGTATGTTACTCTGAGTGTATATCCACACCGGGCAGGCTGAAAAGTTAGCCTGACCATGGTGAGAATCGAACCCGCAACTAGTCCAGGCTTTCTTGCCATCCTACTTTTCCTACTTTTCTTCAAATTTCCTACTTTTCCTATTTTTTATTAAAAATTGCTTGATTTTCCTACTTTTTCCTACTTTTTCTTATAAAACCCTACTTTTTTAAGTCAGCTTGGGGAATCAGTATGTTATAGCTCTCGTAATTTGATCTATAGGACTTGCAATTTTTATTCCCTATTTGTGTCCCAGATCATAAGATCTCAGGAGGAGAAGAAATACATTTTCCGAGTATAAAATTTTATAGCATCTCTAGAATCATAATCAATAAATTAATGAAGACTCTGAAAGTGCCATTTCCGACGATCTAGAGATTCCAAATATTCAACTCCCCCCCTCAGTTAATCAAGCATCATATATACAGGGCCGTAGCAACTGGAGGGGGGGGGGAGGCTGCAGCCCCCCCCCAATAATTTGCTGGAGGGGGGGGGCGGCTGCAGCCCCCAATAATTTGCTAATAATATTTTTTTTCAAAATCATGCAGACCTTTATCATTTAGTCCATGACAAACTGCAAAGAATGAAGATATTACCCATAGTTTTCTGCATTAACTTATCTAATATATAGTTAATTAAATACGTCTTCGCCCATTTAGTGCTACTAATTTGTAAATTTCGACATACTAAAACGCTGTTTCTGACCATTAGAATTCTGTCAAATCTTCCCCAAAGTCCAGGAAATGGCATTTCAGAGACTCTAAATTTAAAAATTTCCTTGGGCCTTTGGCGGCCCTTGCTTACAGCCCCCCCCCCCAATCGAAAAGAGCTTCCTACGGCCCTGATATATGCTCCTGCCGCAGTGTGGATTGGTGCATTGTGTAGCCCAATACATGCATTTGAATTGTGTTGCTGCAGAGCAGATGCCTTAGCTTTTATACCTATACAATTTAAAAGTTTTGAGAAAAAAATCCTGCATAGATGAATGAGTACAAAAAAATATTGAGCACCAAAAATTCACACAACTTCCCCATCAGATATCTAATGGTCTACCCCTTACCACATATATCCTAGGGGGCCGATTTTGTATATTTTTGTGTTATTTGCATCTCCAAAACTCCTACTTTTGTCCTACTTTTCTACACATTTTCCTACTTTATTCCTACTTTTCCTAAAATTCTAGTCCTACTTTTGTCCTACTTTTTTACACAAGGATGCCAGAAAGCCTGCTAGTCTAATGCTCTGCTAACTGCATATACACTCAGAGTATCATCAAAAACAATATTCACCTGAGTAACTGTACATATATAAACACCCACACAACACATTCTTAATTAATAAGAAAATTTTTTTTAAGAAAAATTTCTTGATTTGAGAAATTATTTTCTTAAAATAAGAAATTATTTTCTTATTTTAAGAATTTTTTTTCTTGGGAGAATAACAAGAAAATTTTCTTAATAGGAAAATTCTTTTTAAGAAAAATTTCTTGATTTGAGAAATTATTTTCTTAAAATAACAAATTATTTTCTTATTTTAAGAAAATTTTCTTATTTCAAGAATTTTTTTTCTTGGGAGAATAACAAGAAAATTTTCTTAATAAGAAAATTCTTTTTAAGAAAAATTTCTTGTTTTAAGAAATTATTTTCTTAAAATAAGAAATTATCTTCTTATTTTAAGAAAATTGTCTTATTTCAAGAAAACTTTTTTCTTGGGAGAATAACAAGAAAATTTTCTTAATAAGAAAAAAAATTTCTTGATTTGAGAAAATATTTTCTTAAAATAAGAAAATATTTTCTCAATTTAAGAATTTTTTCTCAAGAAAATTTTCTTAATAAGAAAAATTTTCTTAAGAAAATTTTCTTATTAAGAAAATTTTCTTGTTATTCTCCCAAGAAAATATTTTCTTATTTCAAGAAAATTTTCTTAAAACAAGTTTTTTTTTCTTAAAATAAGAAAATGATTTTTTGCTGTGTATAAGCATATGCTCGAACATACTGTAATTGTCCTTATGTTGGCCAAGACAGTATTATTGCTTTCACCACGATATTATCAAGAGTGATTTGTAGGAACGGATTAATTCTTGTGCTTATGGTTATGCTTATATACTAGCTCGTGCTCATGTTGCGGTCAGAAAAGTAATTTAAGAAACGGACGCATGCAGAGTTTCGTATTAATTAGGCTATTATGTTATATATACCTTACTGTTTATTCATTTCTGACCGACCTCGTATTATTCTCATGTATTTATTCATGTTTCATGCACGTAAGATAAGAACTTACTTATTCTTGAACTAAGGATCAGCGAGAAACAAATATATTGTGTAGGAAACACGGGGAATACAACTTTCAACTTTCAGGTCTAGGTTAAAAGTGAATAAACGAGGCCTAGGTTAAGAGTGGATAAACGGTAAAGCCGAATCAAAACGTTTCGTTCCTTATGCGTGTGCTTATGCTTGCGCTTACGCTTAAAAAGCATTCCAGCTAAGAAATAAACCTGTTTGATGGCCTTTTGCGTTTGTTATACTGTATACGTATAGCTTTCATTATAATATATGTTCTGTATATATTGTGTGCATATACTATTAAATAACTATAATTATAAACCTCCTTCTCGGTTTATAACTCTTACTTATAAACTGAAATTCACCTGAATTTACGTCTCTCGCTAACACTACAGCATAATATTTCAAACCAATAAAATAACTGCGGTTCTGTAGATTCTATAAACACATCTAAAGGCCTGATTCCACGGGCGCTTTTTCTCGGCGAAATGCGAAATATTTCGCCTGTTTCTTTTGAATTGTGAGCAATCAAGTATAGAAATAATTTATTCGAGTAGTCGCAATTCAAAAGAAACGGGCGAAATAATTCGCATTTCGGCCAGAAAAAGCGCTCGTGGAATCAGGCCTTAATGTGCAAATACGAAACGGTATGTGAATATTTGTGCAAATGTGGAATTTGCATGAAATTTGCCGTAAATTCGAAACGAGTGCCTTTTTGAAAATCGGTACTAAAATTGCGCCATGTGTGATATATTTAGCAAATTCTATTTTTGCAATGAAATCACTCTGAATTGACATTAGCGCAAATATATAAATTCACACTCAATATACACCAAATTTGCACCCAGTGGCTTGGCGGCAATCACTCTACCGCACCGGGTGCAAACATGAAGCAGATCTACAAATTTGAACCGGTGCAAATGTGGTCAAAGGTGAGCGAATTTGGAATTGGCATCAAATTTGCACATACATTTGCACATAGGCATATTTGTATTTTCGTCCCGTGTTACTCTTCAAAATATCGAATTTACTCTTCAAAACTTGGAATTCACTCTTCAAACTTAGAATTTTCTCTTCAAATATTAGAATTTACTCTTCGAAACATAGAATTTACTCTTCAAAACTTAGAATTTACTCTTCAAAATATCGAATATATTTAGTCTTCAAATCTTGGAATTTACTCTTCAAACTTAGAATTTTCTCTTCAAAACCTACAATTTACTCTTCAAAATATCGAATTTACTCTTCAAAACTTGGAATTTACTCTTCAAACTTAGAATCTTCTCTTCAAATATTAGAATTTACTCTTCGAAACATAGAATTTACTCTTCAAAACTTAGAATTTTCTCTTCAAAATATCGAATTTACTCTTCAAATCTTGGAATTTACTCTTCAAACTTAGAATTTTCTCTTCAAATATTAGAATTTACTCTTCGAAACATAGAATTTAGTATTCAAAACTTAGAATTTACTCTTCAAAATATCGAATTTACTCTTCAAATCTTTGGAATTTACTCTTCAAACTTAGAATTTTCACTTAAAAACTTAGAATTTACACTTCAAAATATCGAATTTACTCTTCAAAACTTGGAATTTACTCTTCAAACTTAGAATTTTCTCTTCAAATATTAGAATTTACTCTTCGAAACATAGAATTTACTCTTGAAAATATCGAATTTACTCTTCAAACCTTGGAATTTACTCTTCAAACTTAGAATTTTCTCTTCAAATATTAGAATTTACTCTTCGAAACATAGAATTTACTCTTCAAAACTTAGAATTTACTCTTCAAAATATCGAATTTACTCTTCAAATCTTGGAATTTATTCTTCAAACTTAGAATTTTCTCTTCAAATCTTAGATTTAACTCTTCGAAACATAGAATTTACTCTTCAAAACTTAGAATTTACTCTTCAAAATATCGAATTTACTCTTCAAATCTTGGAATTTACTCTTCAAACTTAGAATTTTCTCTTCAAAACTTAGAATTTACTCTTCAAACTTAGAATTTTCTCTTCAAATATTAGAATTTACTCTTCGAAACATGTAATTTACTCTTCAAAACTTAGAATTTATTCTTCCAAATATCGAATTAGCTCTTCAAATCTTGGAATTTACTCTTCAAACTTAGAATTTTCTCTTCAAATATTAGAATTTACTCTTCGAAACATAGAATTTGCTCTTCAAAACTTAGCATTTACTCTTCAAAATATCGAATTTACTCTTCAAAACTTGGAATTTACTCTTCAAACTTAGAATTTTCTCTTCAAAGCTTAGAATTTACTCTTCAAAATATCGAATTCACTCTTCAAAACTTGGAATTTACTCTTCAAACTTTGAATTTTCTCGTTAAATATTAGAATTTACTCTTCGAAACATAGAATTTACTCTTCAAAACTTAGAATTTACTCTTCAAAATATCGAATTTACTCTTCAAATCTTGGAATTTACTCTTCAAACTTAGAATTTTCTCTTCAAATATTAGAATTTACTCTTCGAAACATAGAATTTACTCCTCCAAACTTAATTTACTCTTCAAAATATCGAATTTACTCTTCAAATCTTGGAATTTAATCTTCAAACTTAGAATTTTCTCTTCAAATCTTAGAAGTTACCCTTCGAAACATAGAATTTACTCTTCAAAACTTAGAATTTATTCTTCAAAATATCGAATTAACTCTTCAAGTCTTCGAATTTACTCTTCAAACTTAGAATTTTTTGTTCAAATATTAGAATTTACTCTTCGAAACATAGAATTTACTCCTCAAAACTTAGAATTTACTCTTCAAAATATCGAATATATTTACTCTTCAAATCTTGGAATTTAATCTTCAAACTTAGAATTTTCTCTTCAAATATTAGAATTTACTCTTCGAAACATAGAATTTACTGTTCAAAACTTAGAATTTACTCTTGAAAATATCGAATTTATTATTCAAATCTTGGAATTTACTCTTCAAACTTAGAATTTTCTCTTCAAAAATTAGAATTTACTGTTCAAAATATCGAATTTACTCTTCAAAACTTGGAATTTCCTGTTCAAACTTAGAATTTTCTCTTCAAATATTAGAATTTACTCGTCGAAACATATAATTTACTCTTCAAAACTTAGTATTTACTCTTCAAAATATCGAATTTACTCTTCAAATCTTGGAATTTACTCTTCAAACTTAGAATTTTTTCTTCAAATATTAGAATTTACTCTTCGAAACATAGAATTTACTCCTCAAAACTTAGAATTTGCACTTCAAAATATCGAATATATTTACTCTTCAAAACTTGGAATTTACTCATCAAACTTAGAATTTTCTCTTCAAATATTAGAATTTACTCTTCGAAACATAGAATTTACTCCTCAAAACTTAGAATTTACTCTTCAAAATATCGAATTTACTCTTCAAAACTTGGAATTTACTCTTCAAACTTAGAATTTTCTCTTCAAATATTAGAATTTACTCTTCGAAACATAGAATTTACTCTTCAAAACTTAGAATTTACTCTTCAAAATATCGAATTTACTCTTCAAATCTTGGAATTTACTCTTCAAACTTAGAATTTTCTCTTCAAATATTAGAATTTACTCTTCGAAACATAGAATTTACTCTTCAAAACTTAGAATTTACTCTTCAAAATATCGAATTTACTCTTCAAATCTTGGAATTTACTCTTCAAACTTAGAATTTTCTCTTCAAAACTTAGAATTTACTCTTCAAACTATCGAATTTACTCTTCAAATCTTGGAATTTACTCTTCAAACTTACAATTTTCTCTTCAAATAATAGAATTTACTCTTCGAAACATAGAATTTACTCTTCAAAGCTTAGAATTTACTCTTCAAAATATCGAATTTACTCTTCAAATCTTGGAATTTACTCTTCAAACTTAGAATTTTCTCTTCAAAACATAGAATTTACTCTTCAAAATATCGAATTAACTCTTCAAATCTTGGAATTTACTCTTCAAACTTAGAATTTTCTCTTCAAATATTAGAATTTACTCTTCGAAACATAGAATTTACTCTTCAAAACTTAGAATTTACTCTTCAAAATATCGAATTAAGTCTTCAAATCTTGGAATTTACTCTTCAAACTTAGAATTTTCTCTTCAAATATTAGAATTTACTCTTCGAAACATAGAATTTACTCTTCAAAACTTAGAATTTACTCTTCAAAATATCGAATTTACTCTTCAAATCTTGGAATTTACTCTTCAAACTTAGAATTTTCTCTTCAAAACTTAGAATTTACTCTTCAAAATATCAATTTACTCTTCAAAACTTGGAATTTACTCTTCAAACTTAGAATTTTCTCTTCAAATATTAGAATTTACTCTTCGAAACATAGAATTTACTCTTCAAAACTTAGAATTTACTCTTCAAAATATCGAATTTACTCTTCAAATCTTGGAATTTACTCTTCAAACTTAGAATTTTCTCTTCAAATATTAGAATTTACTTTTCGAAACATATAATTTACACTTCAAAACTTAGAATTTACACTTCAAAATACCGAATTTACTCTTCAAATCTTGGAATTTACTCTTCAAACTTAGAATTTTCTCTTCAAATATTAGAATTTACTCTTCGAAACACATAATTTACTCTTCAAAACTTAGAATTTACTCTTCAAAATATCGATTTAACCCTTCAAATCTTGGAATTTACTCTTCAAACTTAGAATTTTATATTAGAATTTACTCTTCGAAACATAGAATTTACTCTTCAAAACTTAGAATTTACTCTTCAAAATATCGAATTTACTCTTCAAATCTTGGAATTTACTCTTCAAACTTAGAATTTTCCCTTCAAAACTTAGAACTTTCTCTTCAAAATATCGAATTTACTCTTCAAAACTTGGAATTTACTCTTCAAACTTAGAATTTTCTCTTCAAATATTAGAATTTACTTTTCAAACTATCGAATTTACTCTTCAAATCTTAGAATTTACTCTTCAACCTTAGAATTTTCTCTTCAAATATTAGAATTTACTCTTCAAACTTAGAATTTACTCTTCAAACTTAGAATTTTCTCTTCAAATCTTAGAATTTACTCTTCGAAACATAGAATTTCATCTTCAAAACTTACAATTTTCTCTTCAAAACATCGAATTTACTCTTCAAATCTTGGAATTCACTCTTCAAACTTAGAATTTTCTCTTCAAAACATCGAATTTACTCTTCGAAACATAGAATTTACTCTTCAAAATATCGAATTTACGTAACAAAATATCGAATTTACTGTTCAAATCT